ACTATTTGTCAATTCTTTTAATTCTTTTTATCTTTTCACTTTATTTTTCTATTCATTTTTATTCTTTATTGATAATAATTAGTTAGTTTGTGTACAAGCTACCACAGGAGACTTTTAGAATCTTTAGTAAATCCCATTAATTATAATTTATTCAGTCTTTGTTCTTTCACTGTTATGTTATTTTGTTAATTCATTAATTTTAACAATTAACGAGAACAATACCTTTGAGTATTTCGAAAGCTCCATCAAAACGGTAACAGTAGCCTCATCAATATCCATAAGGAAAAGTTTCATATGAGATAATCTGTCTTTGAGTTCTTTTGTATGTTTATTTCCTTTTTTCTCTCAAGTTCAAAAAAGATATATAGTTAACTTATATACTTTTTATAAATTTGTTAATACTTATTATTAACTAAATAAATCTAGCTTCGAGTAAAAATTGTGAAAAGTTTGGGATAATTTATATTTCTCAATAATTTGTGACAAATATTTATCCTGTCTTCCTGCATATATGTCATTTTTTTTTTACTTCAAATATGCTTGTATATATACCAAATAATTAGTATCGTTATTATAGCAAGAATGACAAGCTTAACAATAGGAGGAATTTGATACTTATAATTAACCAAAGCTTCACCAGCATCTAATGACACAACAGGTAATATTTCAATCTCTTTTATTGGTATATTATTATTCTTTATCTCAAATATAATATGTGACAATGACTCTGGACTTATTTGGGAGAAATGCTACTTCGTGCCTGCCTATTATTTATTCGCTTCTCATTAGAGATCTCTGATTCTTTAGGTATATTGTTATTTAAACTGGTTAAAGTTTGTTGAATCAAAGATTCTTGAATATCTTTATCTACTTGACTATTCTCTGTCTTAGGCTTATGTACAAAATATTTTGCAAGAGATAAAGAGTTTGGATCCTTTGGCAGAGACTGCATAATTAATATATTATCATCATTTTTTTCATCTGACTTACCTCTGATTTTGACTTGTTCTGATGATAATCTATTACAGGATAATAGCTCTTTGAGTCTAGCTTCTAAGGAGTGTATCTCTGAATTTTTTTCAGCCAAATCATTTTTTATTAGTTCTAATTCGCCATTTTTTAAAGTTAACATATTCTTCATGCACTCTAATTCACTATTTTTCGAAGCTAAATTAGAATTCAAGACAGATAATTCGATCCTAAGATAATCAATCTCAGATTCTTTCATAGATGAGTCCTTCTGGACTGAAGATAGTCTTGTTTCTGATGCTTTTATCTTAGACTGGAGAGCTTTCATCTCTTTTAATTTTGTACGAATCTTGATTTTAGATTCATTAAGAGAAATATCTTTGCGAGTAATCTGGGATGTTAGATTATCTAACTCTGAGTGCAATCATTTAATCTCATCTATAAGCTGGAAAGCATGCTTGGAGAGTTTTTCTTTATTTTTATTGGTTCGATTTAGATCATATTGTATATGCTTATTGTCTTTATCCAAGACAGAGCATTTATTGGCAAGTCGATTGTCACACTCTATAGCAATTTTTCGATCTTGATTTGCACAAACAAGCTGGTTTTCAAGTTCTGTTCAGCTGGATGAATATTGATTAGATGGTATACTTCCGAGTTTTTGATCTTCACCTATATTTGATAAAGTATGAATTTGAGACATATGTGTTTTAACACTAGCTCTGTTATTATATAATGAAAAAAATATATCAATGAAATAAATATACCTTTTATAAAAGATTGATATAATTTATTAAATAAATAATATGTGTCTTCAACACTAGCTCCACAATAATCCTATATATTTGATGTATTCTATTTTTCTGATATTTTTTATTTTTCTGATATTTTTTGTTAGATAAAAAACAAAGAAATTATACTTATTGTTATGGTTAGAGTATGTATAAAATCTGATGCACCTTTGTTTTCAGCTGAAGATTATTTATATATAATACAATACCGTAATATAAAGCCAAGATACAAAATTTTGAAGGAATTATTAGATAAATATAAAATATCATCAAAATGTATTTATCAGATTTGGAGAGGGGAAGAAGCTAATAGAGTTCTCTGGGATCAACCTATACCCTCCTCATATAATACACAAGATTCATAAGCACAGTCTAATATATTTAGCCATGGCGTGAGCCAGCTTCCAGCTGAAGTAACTACCTCTAACAATAATTCATCTAGTATAAATCACTCTTAAAGGTGATACAGCCAAAGATTCGAAACTCACGTGTGGTAGGCTCGAAGAGCCATTGCTCTGCAATAAAAAAAAGTGTCTCTTTTGATAATACTTCTAGAAGAAAGGCCGATCTTGAAAAATTAATGAAAGATACTGAAAGATTAGCTCCTATATGTTCATCTTTGCCTCAGTAAGCTGAGAGCATCTTTCTGCAAGAACTCTACCTGCATTTAGAGCCATATCAAGTCACTCTTCAGTTTTTATGAGTTGCTTTTCAAGTAAGTCATATTTTTTTTAAATTCTCACCATCATACATATTTGAAACTTGTTGTTCTGGTTCACAAACCTCTGGAGCCTTGCTAAAAGTCGGGATAATATAAGACTTACCATGTAACTTCATTTAGAATTGGTTTTTATTTGGGTCAAGAATACCTTGAACTTTTCGAATCCATGTCATACCTAAGCATAACATTGGTTTGGGTTCACCATTATCAATACGTGCAAAATTTCCAGTAGCTGTGACAGTTTTACCATCCTTATCCTTTATATTAACTGGCACATCTGTAAACCATCCCAATGATTCGGTGATGTGTTTGGAGTTACCTTTTATGCCAAAATCAGATGGCTTATCAGCTTTCCACCCAAGGGCATTAATTGTTGCATCATTCAATCCCCCGAACTCACTTCCGCAATCTAAAAAAGAATTAGAAATTAATAAGTCGTTTATGTTAGCATTCAGGTACTGTAAAGATGAAAACCACTCATCTGATTTTGATTCTTTTTTCTGAACTATGTGAGACTGACACATTTTTCGCATTGTTGGTGAAAGCTTAGACAATAGCTGATCATATGTTTCAGGGAAGTTAGTTACTAGATCAGAAGAAGGGTTAGCAGAGTTATCAGATAAGTTTTCATTTACTGATACTCGTTTTTTTTTCAGAATCATCATACCATATATTGTTTTCTTCATCATATCCACTATTTTCTTCATTAGCTAAATTTATAGATTTATAAGAGGAGTAAAATAAGACCGATTAAAATTAGATTTCGCAATATTGCCTTTATGTATATTTAGTTTCTGAAATTCTTCAGTTAACTGGTTCATAGCATTTCTATTTTCATTGATCACCTCTTCTACTCTATCAATTCTAGCAGAGACGTTGCTCTTTCGAGGAAAGGATCTTTGAAAAGGTTTTATAGGATAATTTCTCTCTAAATCTTCTGTACTAAATATACCTAAATTATTTAAGTATTGTGATAAGCGATAATTTTCTATACCTTCTTCTGTTTGTAATGAAGATGGTGGACCTCTTGGCTGTCTAACTGGTTCAACAGTTTGAGGAGCAGGTACTTGCATTTGCTTAGCCATTTGAGATTCTAATTCTGTAACTTTCTTTACTAATGCCTGGTTTTCAGTTTTTTGTTGCGTTAGTGCATTCTGAATTGCTTTTTGCATATCTTCTAAAGAAATTGCATGCCCTTGCTGTTGAGGAGCTGGGGCAACTAGTGGTAAAGAATAGGATACTGGATTTATACTAGGTAAGGCTTGCATTTGATTGGGAATTTGACTTAATTCCTCTGGAATCCTTCCACTCAAATTTTGTCCACGCTCTAGCCACATATTTTTTATTTCGGTGAAAAACGCATTAATGCCCGCAGGATTGGCAATTCTCATCCAAGTATAAAAATCGTCTGTTAAATGACTCCCAAAACTTGCACATCATTGTCTACTACTCCTAATAATAGTGGTCGAATTCTGGCTTCATAGGTATCAGGAGTATCATAGGGTTGATATCTTTCTTGAGTCAATCTTTGAATAGCCGATTGTTGATTTCCAACAGTCTCTCGCTGATATTTTGCTCTCATCCAAGCCCGTAATGTATCTGGAGAATTTATAGCTGGATTTCCTACTACAAGACCATTATTTGCTGGTACTGGTGCATATTTTCCACCCATCATAGATTTTAAAATATTACACTTGACTGCATTATCAAAATCTCCCGCATTTGCACCTTCAAGAACTGCCATATGCCCTTCAAGATATGCCCATGATTGAATAACTTTATCCAAGTAATCATCGGGTGGTTCTTGGCCTGTATAAGGTTGAAATTTTGCAAGAGCGGGGGCCATTAATTTTAATACCGGTAAACGTCTAGCATCAGCCATGTTTATTTGATTTGGTGGATTATTATGAAGCGCCAAAATTTGTTGATTTAAATTTAAAATATTCTGGCGCTCTGCTTGAGTCTTATTTTTCCACTTCTCATATCGTTCATACAATCTATCTCTATTATATTCTAACAAACCTCTATCGGCTCTGCATCGCTGTAGGTGGTGGGCATTTCGTCGATATAAGATTTGTAAGGCAAATTTTTCTCGTAGCAATTCGCCAATACAGGTTTGTTTTCTTGCTATATTATCTATCATTCTGTTTACTTGATTCTGAGCATTAGCCCGTAACTGATTACGTTCCTGCACTGCTTGATCTCGCTCTTGCATATACGTATCGCGATCCCATCTTACGTTTACCAGATCTTGTTGCAGGTTAGCATATTTACGTCGAATTGACCTTGTTGATCTTTTAATTTGATTTGTTAAAATGGTTCTACATATTGTTGTATTATCTAGAGATCAGCTATTGTACCCATATCTAAATTTTGATCAAAATTATAAATATCTAAAGAATTTTCATCAGGGTTGAATTCGTTTTCAGTATTCCATGCTTGTGCATTTTGCAAAGCCTCTCTGGTATTTATAAGTTCTAATCTATCTCGATATCTTAATAAGGATAATGCGAAATTTTGGCAAAGAAGGTCTGTAATACGGTTTTTTTGCTGATTTATTTTGTTAATCCTATTTATTTGATTGGTTCTTATTGTATTTATTTCTCGTTTAAGACGTTCATTTTCATCTACTAATCTTGTATAATCTTGCGTCTTAGGGGTATTACCTGCAGATTTTGATATTTCCCGTATACGATTTTTTAATTTTGTTTCACGTTCATCGAATTCTGATATTAACTTATCCTTATTTGAGATTTCCTTGTCTTTCTTTTTATTTTCTTCTTCGAGCTGATGAACGATTCTTTTTAGTTTTGAAATTTCTTCTAACAATTCTTTTTTGTCTTGTGTAGATAGTTCGATAGCATTATTTAACTCTTCTTCAAGAAATCGTATCCTTTCTTCCCGTATACCTATAACTCTTTCTAAGGTATATAGTCGTTGTTCAAAATTTCTGTTTTATTGGGCTAGTTGTGACACTACCTCATGAAGTTCTTGGTTAGATTGTTGTAACTCGCCCATTGTTTTTTATTGACTATAATAAAACAAAGGAATGGAGAAACCGATAATTTATATTGACCCACAGAAGGCCCGTAATTTGAATAGGGAGATTGCTAAAACCGAAAGAATAGAACAGCCTATAATAAATATTAATCCTCAGAGAGCTCGCGATTTGGATAGGGAGATTGTCTTGCAGAAATTATATTACCGACCTGAAGGTTATTACCAAAATGCTAAAAGATTGCAAGATGCTTGTAGGAAGGCTGGATATAACTTTCCACTTGCTACGATAAAAAAATGGCTTGAGTCTCAGAAAATGCATCAAATTTATCGTCCCTTACCAAAGAATGCGCCTTATGCTAGTTATCCTAGAATCTCAAAACCTAATTGTGTTCATCAGTGCGATTTAATTGAGATACCTTATGATGAAGATGAGTATATAAACTTATTGAATGAAAATAGTGAAATATTTTATTATGTATTATTAGTTATAGATTGTGCAAGTAGATATAAAGATTTTGTTTTTTTAACATCAAAAAGTAGTGACGAAGTTGCAGAAGCATTTAAGAGTATATATGATAATCCCCTCAACTGGCCTCGAAAACTACAATGTGATAAGGGCACTGAGTTTATGGGATACGTGACTTTATTAATGTATGAACATGGTGTTGAAATCCGAAGAATTATAGCACGTTTCAGACATACAAGCTTGGCTATAGTCGACCGTTATGCTGGATTATTCGAATTAAGAGTTTTTAAAAATCAGTATGCGATAGAATTTCTCTTACCTACTGGTGAACGCTGTAGAGAGTGTAAGCGATTTGCACGGAAAATTGTTGATAATATGAATGATACTCCAACCCGATTAATTGGAATGAGCCCTAATAGTGCTATGAAGCTTGAACGGGTGTATTCCAAGCCATCAACAAAATATTATCGCCCAATTGGTATTAATGAACCACAGCTACCAAAGGGTACCACAGTTCGATTCTTACTTGCACCTGGAGAATGGGAAAAAGATCCCTTTGAACGACGTAGAATAACAGATCCAGTATGGAGTCCAAGTCTTCATAAAATTCGGAAAATTGTTGTTGGGAAAAATCCACCAATGCCTGTATTATATTATTTAGATGAAACAGGCCCTCAACGCCCTTTTGTGAGAGAAAAATTAATGCATATTAAGGAAGAACCTATACTACCTCCCCGGTGGGTCTTGGAAGATAACCGAATTCGTTCAAGGCACTCTTGATGAAAGTTAACAGATCAACAACACAATAAGGGATTGTGATAAGAATTATACCCTCCTTAAAACAGAGTGCTCTCTTTTTCCAATCGCGTTGAATTTGTGCATCTAAATTAATTTGTCCTTGTGGATGGAAAAAAGGAACGATTTGAAAATGTTGATTGCCACTGTATTCAAAGGCCAAATGTAATTCCTCATTATACCCATCAAGCTGTAAACCTTTTAAAAATTTGGGTTTTCGAGGTGGAAATTTCTTATATAATAATTCTTCGAATATATATCGACATCTTCGCTCAAATATATGAGGACAACTATTACACCATCCATAATTCTGCTTCATATTTTTATAGGATGCTTCCCATTGATGTTGATTTTTGCATGACCACAAATAAATATCTGCGTTGGATCTAGCTTTAGCCAAGCATTCCCCTTCACGTCTTTTGGCAAAAGTAAAAGCTTTGGTATCAATCTCATTATAATCTTGCATCTTTACTTTGCAGTCACAAAGTGACTATAATATGATCAAAAAAAATAACAATGTGATATATTTTTTTGAGCCAGCAAAAATTCCAAATGTTTCAGGAAAGGTTAGAACAATGGCAAATCAAGATTGCTTTTGAATTTTGGGATAATACTAATTACTGGAAAAAAGAGTGTGAGAATATGAATGAGGTTGCTTTCTTGAAATATAAATGCAATTTTGAGGCTAAAATGTATGTTCCTACTACTTTACACAAAAAAGAATTAAAAATTTACTTTTTGATCTTTTATTGAATATGCGTAACTGTTGTTCAAGATAATACAATCTAGTTAAATAATAATTTCTGGAGATGAGAGATTGCTACATTTAGCTAGTTATATATCCAGGTAAAGAGATTTTTGTCACCTCTTACAATAAGTATGCAGAAAAAAATTAATACTTCAATACCTATATTATATAAATGGATTTTTGGATCACGATGGATGAGTACTGTTATCCAATTCATATGCCTGGCCAATCGAGATAATATTTTATGTAAGTTCTTTCAGTATATAAATTAAGATACGTATTTGATAACCATTTTTGTGTTATATAATTTCGATCGAGATGGAATTTCAGGTAAGTGATATGTAATAGTACCATCAAATTGATATCAAAAAGTGATATGCAAAGGTAAGAAAAATTAATAAGAGCTTTTACGTATCATTAGATAAATATCAAAAAAGTGATACGCAAAGGTTAGCAAAAAAGTGATACACAAAGGTTATCAAAAAAGTAATATACAATAGTAAGAAAAAATTGAGTTTTTACATATCACTAGGTAGGTATTAAAAAAGGTAATATATAAAGGTTACAAAAAAATTGAGCTTTTATATATCATTAGATAGATATCAAAAAAGTAATATGCAAAAGTTAGCAAAAAAGTGATATGCAAAGGTTAGCAAAAAAGTGATACGCAAAGATTAGCAAAAAAGTAATATACAAAAGAATATATAGAAGTACAATCAGATTTTTTTAGTATCTCATACTAGCTTCACTAATGTAAAGTAACAGTATCTGAAAACTATAAACTATGCAAGAAGAGCTTTCAGAATTGAGAAATATAGTAAACTTTTGGTGATACGCAAAAGTAGAATATTATAAGAAAAGAAATAATAAAAAATTGTGCTTTTACGTATTACCAAGTAAGGATAACAATTTGACACTGTATCTTATTCTTAGGTGATATTTGAGTGTAATATGCAAAGCTAGCAATTCAGCATTATGTATCTCATTCTTGGATGATATTTGAGTGAATCATAATAGATAGCAATTTGACACTATGTGCCTTATTCTCAGATGATATTTGAATGTAATATAACAGTTATCAATTCGACACTATGTGTCTCATTCTTGATCGATATTTGAGTGTATCATATAAAGATTATGAATACTATTTCAGCACTATGTGCTGTTGTATAATGATCTTTCATCATAATATTTTATTATTGGATTATAAATATCTCATATATTATTGGATAAAGATCATATCACGTGAAGCGA